TTCATGAGTTCTTGGAGCGGTGGTCTCTCCATAGAGCTGCTGAGTTTTGGGTTTATGATAAGTTATGCAGAAAAAAACGTGTTTAATTCTTCCATGATCGTAGAGTCATGAAGTGGATTTTGTTGTTTGTTTGTTTTGATGCAAAGTCTCATGTTGTCCAGGCTGGCCTCAAAGTCACAATGCTATTCCAGCTTGTCCTCTGGTCTACACACACATGCACGCACACATGCACACACACACACAGGCAAACACTTGTGCCCAGACACACATACAAACTTACAAACACACAACACACAAACACAGGAAAAAAATAAAAAAGGAAGACCATGGCATTCTTCACAGAGTTCCCGAGGGATTCTTCCTTTTCCCTATGCGTGAGGAATTTAATATTGGTGTGGGGCTTTGGTCCCCTGTTTCTCAGCTGCTGATTGTGATTTTTATGGGTCTCCTCTGCTCTCTGAGCTGTCAGTCACAGGCTAACCATTCGCAGCAGCGTCCCCTCAGTTCTTGCCTGTGGCACACATCAAGTGGCTGAAGAGAGGGAACCCATGCCACAGAGACACATGTCGGCGTTAGGCTATTGTCCAGGGAGCAGTATGGGACGCTGGGTCAGTATGGGACATTTGTAACACAGCTAATTAAGCCGAGGGTCGTGATGCCATTGTAGAGTTGTGTAACTGGTTGTGAGGGTCACAAACATTTGATAGCAGTAAAGGTTGCAAGTGTGCAAACAACCAAAGATTAATTCAAAGCCCAACATGTAACGAGGCTGAGATGTTTCAGGAAACACTTGCCCATGTTACATTTTTTTTTTTTTTCTGCCATGTCCCCTTCGTTTCTGCAGCCAGGAGCTAAAGTAAATCTTCCTCGTCTTGAGTTGTTTTGTCTGGCATTTGGCCACGGCACCGCATGCGTTAACTATTACATTGTGATTTCCCCGTCGAGCTGCCTTTCTTATTTCTGTACTTTCAGCTGGTGATGGTCGCTTCCTGTGTTAAGTCCTGGCCAGTGGCTGGTCTCAGGGCTCATCTGGCCTTCAGAGAATGCTCTAGCGCAGGTCCCCAGGAATGGTCTGCATTCCCCTCCTAGACCAACCCCTTGGCTTTGGCTAGGTCCCTGAACTATAGGGCTGTCCCTGGGAGCATCTGCCAGGCAATTCTGCAGACAGGCTCTTTGCCACCTAATGGAGAGGAAGGGCGACAGGGTGGGAAGAGCTTGAAGGTGGAGCCATATTTTGGCCTTTGTTGAGTGTGTGATTTATGCAAGTGGATGGACCCCTCTGAGTCCCAGCTGCTGACCTGTAGAAAGGCATGACTTGGGTGGTGCCCCGACCCTCGGGGTTTCAACGGGGTTCCTAAGGGGGAGATTGGAAAGAGTGGGGGGAAGGGACGAGAAGCGCAAGAAATGAAGGCCAAGTCTGTTTGTCCGATCAAAGCCTCGTTCATTAGAAATTTTTACCCAACTTAGATAGGGAGAAGGCAGGAAAGGGGGAAGGTTAATCTACTGCTGCAGGAGACAGGAAGAGTGCTTTCATGGGTTAACTATTGTACCTGCACGATACCGTAAGGATGTTCTCTTAAGATATCTTAACAAAGATGCTCTAACAAAGGATGTCCTCACAGTCTATCACCCATGAGTTAGGGTCTAGAGAACTCTTTCACTACATAGCTTTAGGTCTCCACTAAATGACCTTTGCTCTCTACTTGGCTTTGGCTTCAGTAACTACCTTTGTCTCCACTAGATGGCTTTGGCTCACTCATTGACTTTGGCTTCAGCAGATACCTTTGTCTCCACTAGATGGCTTTGACTTTGGCTTCTGTAGACAGCTTTGGCTCCTGGCAGGGTGATAGTGATCCAGCCATGGGGCTCACTTGAGACTGCATATGTGGAAACTGCGTGTAACTGCAAAGCGCTTCTTCTCCTTTTCCTCCTCCTCTTCCTCCTTCTCCTCTTCTTCCTCCCTCTCTTCCTCCGTTTCCTCCACTTCCTCCTTCTCATCCTTTTCCTCCTTCTCCTCCTCCTCTTCCTCCTTCTCATCCTTTTCCTCCTTCTCCTTCTCCTCCTCCCCTTCATTCTCCTCCTCTTCCTCCTTCTCTTCCTCTTCCTCCTTCTCCTCCTCCTCATTCTCCTCTTCCTCCTCCCCTTCCTTTTCCTCCTCTTCCTTCTCCTCCTCCTCTTCCTCTTTCTCCTCTTTCTCCTCCTCCTCTTCCTCCTCTTCTCCTTTTCCTCCTCTTTCTTCTCCTCCTCCTCTTCCTCCTGCTCTTCCTCCTTCTCTTCCTCTTCTTCCTTCTCCTCCTTCTCCTCTTCTCCTCCTCCTCTTCTTCTCCCTTTCCTCTTCCTCTTCTCCTCCTCCTCTTCCTTTTTGAGACAGTTTTTCTGTGTAATAGTCCTGGTTGCCCTAGACTTGCTTTATAGACCAGGAAGGCCTTGAACTCACAGAGATCCGTTTGCCTCTGCCTCCTGGGTTGTGGGATTAGACGTGTGACCGCACCAGGGTGCAAAGTGCTTTCTTATAGGTGTCAACGATCCCTCTGTCCTCTCCTCCCTCCCCTCTTCCTTTTCCTCCTCCTCCATGTCTTCTTTTCCTCCCCTTCTCCTCCCCGTTACTCTTTTTGTTGTTTTCAAGGGAGCGTCTCACTGCACACTCCCGGCTCTCACCTGCTGCACACCACACCTACTTCCCCTTGTTCTTTTCATTTTTCCTACGCTGGGCCTCCGTCCCGGTGTCATGTGCATGTTAGGCGAGTGCTCTAACCACTGAGCTTCACCTCTGTTCCAGCCGGCATCACCTCTTTTATTTTATGTTGCGTTTGTTTGTATTTTGGAGGCAAGACCTAGCTGTGCCATTCAGCCTGGCCTTGAACTCACTATGTAGGCCACGTATGATCCTTTTGCCTTCATCTCCAGAGTCCTGGGATCGTAGGCATGTGTCACTATTCCTTGTCTTTCTCTTGGTACAGAGTCCCACGTAGCTCACTCACCCCGAACTGTCTATGCAGGCGAGGATGTGCAGCCCTGAGCTTTTGATCTTCCTCCCTCCATTTTTCAAGATCGGGGATTACAAGTATGTGGAACCATACATGGCCAACATCCATATCCATCTTCCTCCTCCTTCACTTCCTCTTTCTTGAGACAGGGTCTCAAGAGCCCAGAGTGGCATCAACTTTGCTATTCAGCCCAGGATGAGTTTGAAATTCTGAGTCTCCTGCGTCCACCCCCCAAGTGCTAGGATTATAGGCATGCACTACCATGCCCTGGCATCACCTCACCGTTGTAGCGTGTGTGTGTGTGTTTGTGTGTGTGTGTGAGAGAGAGAGAGAGAGAGACTGAACCCTCTAGCTACTCCTCCCAGCCCTTTGAACATGGACTGGACTGTGTAGGCATGAGGTATCTCTGGGAAGGGCTGGCAGCTAGAGAAAGGGGCTCCATCGATGCAGAGTGAGGATTGTGGTTGCTTCCGGGTCACCCATGCCGTTCCTGGTAAGCCCTCACCCAGTAAGCTACATAAACTCAGAGAGTTTACCCTGGGTTGGACCTCAGCGGGCCGAGGCCTTCCCTTTGTCGTTGGGACCTTGGGGCAAGGGGCAGACGTGTTCACCCGCCCCCACCCAGGGAAGGAATTTTAGCGACAGCCGTGTTATACCAGTTTCTTAAAAATCGTTCAGGGAGAGAGGAACACTTGCGCAGGCGTGCCGCCTCTCCAGGGCCCTGGAAGAAAAGAGGGTGCCTGACTTGCAAAGGGTTTACGCTCAGGCAGAGACCGGCCAGATGGCCGCTTCGAGCTCCCTCCCTGTGCAAACACGGCTCACCCTGCCGAGCAAACAGGCCTCCGCACACCCGAGGCTCCTCTGCTCCACTCCGGTGTGGTGTGGTCTGCAAACAAGGAGGGTAGGGCTCTGGGATCTTGGCTTTGGTGACTTGTTTCCTCTTGGGCCCCTGGAACAAGGTCATGAGTCTTGGCTCCCTTCTGCTTGTGTAAACAGAGTTAGTGGGCTCAGGGGTGCAGTAACAGCCAGGCCCAGGCTGCGCTGAAAGCCTGTGGCGAGGGGCGGAGTCTGCCGGCCCCTCCGGGTTCTCAAGCTTGGGGGGTCGGCTGTGCGGCTGTCCGCAAGGAGAGCAGAGTTTTGTCTCCCGTGGGGGTGGGGAGGTGGGGGTTAGATTGTTCCCTACTACCCCACCGGCGTTCAAACATTTCTGTAGCTAGGCAAGCACAGTCAGTCCTCCCTCCCTTCCCCTCTGAGTTCAGTTCCCAGCGCTGACACTGGGTAGCTCACAGCTGCCCGCACCTCGTTACCCGGCATTTAACACTGCGTGCTGGACTCTCCGAGACCCTGCTCTCACGTGGGTGCTCCCACCACAGACACACCTACATACTTAAAAACATAAAATACCTCAAAGGGAAGGGCATTCTGATACATCACACAACATGACTGAAGTTTGAGGACAACTGCACCAAATGAAACGAGCCCCTCAGAAAAGGAGAACGACGGATTCTATTTATCTATGTACACAGAGTAGACACAGTCACAGAGCGCTGGAGAGAGGGAAGACTGGTGTTAACGTCACAGTCAAGACAGTGGCCCTTTCTAGGAGGGCATTTATGCTAAATAAAGACTCATCTGACTTCCATCCTGGCACACTCAGTCCTGGTCATTTAAAAGCAATAACTGCAGCTCTAGACAGTCATGATGTGTAGTTACTGAAATGCACGCATCATTCTAAAGGTCAGGATTTGAAGCTGACGGTGCTATGCTCTGTGATTCTTCTTTTCTTTAAGATTCCAATCCTGTTCTTTCACACATGGCTATTGAGCACTTGAAATGTACAGTCTGAATTGTGTGTCTGTGTGTGTCTGTTTGGCGTGTTGGCGATGGAACCTAGGACATGAATCTCCCACATGCTAGGCACGGCTCTACCAAAGAGCCACATTCCAGCCCCTCACTGGGGGATTCTAGGCAGGTGACCACTGAGCCACAC